GGTACAGGTTTTTTTAATCCTATTCATATCTGACATAAATGATGTTAAGGGCTGCAGCACTCTGATCCATGTTTGATAGCAGGTTCTGAAGTGGTTGTTGCTAGGGCAGCCAGAGGACTGAAGCTGCTGCCTTCAATAAGATGGCCCACTTGGGTAGGGGTGCTACTGTTCTATTCAATAACCTTTACAATGTTATTTTCTAATCACTATGTATTTTCCGATTCCTTCAAAGCTCTTTCAGGAAACAATCTTTATTTTCAGGCATCCTGTTGTGTACCCTTGCTCAGGCACCTAACTTTTATCTCCTTCAAGAATCAAACTCAACCTTAGCAGCTAATAAAGTCATTTGAGGGACTACAGAACATTAACATGAGGTAATTATAAGGCAAAGACGCAAACTTAGTTTCCATGCCACCTGCGTGACCAGGATCTATCCAGCTGTGGAGTATTCTTATTTTACAGAAAGTAGCATCCGCTTAAAATACACATTGAGGGTACAGCAGAGACTGTAACACATTTGTACCATGGTGCTGAACTGTGCGCCTGCCCCAGACGTTGCAACGAGGGATGGTTGTTGCTAACAGCTTCAAGTGCAGCACGAAAGGACCTAAGAAAGAGGGGAAAAAAACAGGAAAGAGCTTATGCTTGGATGTCTAGGGCCATCTGCCACTGCAGAAGTACAATACTGGATTCTTGAAATGTAAAAATAGATCTCAAAAGAGACATGTTTTAATGAACTGAACACAAAGAAACATGGTCGAAATAAACTGAAAACAGAAGCAAGGTTCAAGGATCTGTTTGTTAAATGAACACCCAAAGCCAGAATATGTTTTTAGTGCTGGAGAATGCTGGCTGTCTGGTTTCTGCTAAAGCTTCCGTTCTCTCTTTGGGATGCATGTGGGAGAAGGAGGGGGTGAATGGAAGCCCTTGTTTGTCCTCTCTTGAGGAATCTAATTATGTATCAATTGATTTCAAAGCCTGGAATAGTAACTCTCTAGAAAACACTCGCTCGGAGACATTGTTCCAATTTTCGTCTGTTCATAATTTATTCACCTCCACTTTCAATAGAAAGGGCTCTTTCTCAGACTGATTCGCCCCCCGCAAGTTGCACAGAAAATCACAAGTTTGTGGACTTTAAAAAAACCCCAACAAAACCAAACAAAACGCGCACACACAGAGCAGCGCTGCGAGGCGAGGGAAGGAACAAAACCCGGCTCCTCCATCGCAGGGCTCACACACGCCGCTGCTGCAGCAGGCAGCCCCACCATACCAGCTGGGAACCGACTTTTTCCCCTCCCAGCCAGGGAAATAACCTTCTGCGGCAAGGAGAGCTGTGCACCCCACACCACCATTGCCCCTCTCTATGGCACTGCAGTGCGCTGAGGAACAGGGGCACACAGTATGGGGGGTGATGGACCAGACCCAGCACCCTTGTAGCCCAAAGGCAGTGTATGCGTATTTGGGGTTGGGATCCTGTCTGCTTGCAGAGGGAGGCGCATGGTGCCCTGTGTCCAGCACCACCGCCCCGCCACACCCCCCCACACCCCTCCCCCCCCCAAAAAAATAAAAAAAAAGAAGCAACGGCAGCGGGTCGGGCGGCTTGAATCCATCCCTCCCCCGTCCCCGAAAGCAGCCGAGCCACGAGTCTCCTGTCATTCAGCCTTCTGCCCGGCTGATCACTATGAAAAGAGCCGCCCCGGTGACAGAAACACATGAATATTGACTGCAAACAAACCCCGGGGGAGCGGCACCTGGGGGGCTGCGAGCACTGGACTCCCCCAGCCCAGAGCCCGCGGGGGACCGCACCCGCGTACGCGCATCCCCACCCGCACACTCACTGCCCCCGCCCCGAGCGAGGTTCTCCCTAGGCTTTGCAAAGCCCAGCCCAGCCAAGGCGGAGGGGGGGGGATGTCCGGCTGCCTACAGCCCCCTGGCTCTCCTCCCCCCCGTGTACCTGCCGCAGGCCGGGGAGGCGGCAGCTGAGTCTATATAGCTGGTGGGTTATAATGGGGCTGTCCCCCGGCGGGGGGGACCATAAAAGAAACACGTTTCATTTACAAGTTTCCCCCAGCTGGCCCCCGACTTTAGTCCTTATTCCCTTTCTGGAAAGAGGATGGAGGGTGATGTCTTCTACACCACCCCCCCACCCCCACCCCCACCCCCCCCATGTATGTACCCCAGGCCAAAATCTTCGCTTTCACTTCAAAATCCCAGTTTAAAGGCAAGAGTCATGGGGGAAGGGGGTAGGAAACAAAAGCTCTAACCCTCACGGTTTTCCATCTCTTTTTGGGCCATAGCACCCCTGATAATCCCTTTCCTCTCTACCATCCCCAGAGAAAAAAGTCATTAATATTTGCTTTAGAAATACACTTTCAAAGAAACCTGTCCGTCCTCCCCCCCCCCCCGGAATTAAATAAACAGCATCTGGAAGCTAATATATCACCAAAGGCCCCCCTCCTTTTATTTTTTTTCCTTCCCTATTGTTTAGGGCTAGGGCTATAAATAACGTTTCAGTTGGGTTTTATGGACGAGACACGTTTCTACGGTGTCTCCCCGGCCCGTCCGCCCCCCTTATGCCTCCAGAGTGGGGTGCTGGGCAGGGGGTGCACGGGGGCCGCCCCCCGCCAAGCCCCTATTAACCGCTTATTACAGGGGGTGGGGGCGGGGAAGGTGCAGATTTAAATGGTGCGTCGTCGTCCCCCCCTTCAAACGCAGACAATTTTGATGAGTGGGTTTTTGTCCGGATGGTTTGTAATGGTGCCTGTTTTGGGGTGTCCCGGGGGGTCCGGGAAGCTTTAATTCGCTCACAAAGGCTCATTTGCAGGTCAATGCCATGGCACACTCGCCTCTCCCCTTTGCCTAAATCTCCTTTTGTTCCTCATCGCCTGCTCCTCATGCCAGATGGCCGCGGAAAATGCTAATTTTCTCTCTCTCTCCCCACTCCTACCCCGCCTTCCCCCCCCCCCCCCCTTTTTTTTTTCCCTCGCATTTAATTGCGGCCCTTTGCAGATGGGGGCTGCGGAGTGTGTGCTTCATTCAAATGAGGTTTGCTTTTTGGTTTCCAGGCACGTTTCTAAAAGTCCGATCTGAGTCAGGCAGGGATTAGTTTGACAGGGAAGTGATCAGATTAAAATCCGTGCGTGAGCTCGGCCTCCTCGCTCCCTCCCTTTAAAGCTCTTCTTCCCTGCCTTGCCTACCGCTTTCCTCCGAGGAAAAAGGCAAATTTTTCTTTTTCCTGAACTGGCGCGAGCGATTTGGGATGGGAGGCAGGGCCGATTTTGCCTGGATCAGACAGGATTCCACGGAAAACTCATTTTCTTGGGGCAGTGGGAAAATAAGCTTTCCTTAGCTAGCATCTTGCCATCACTAGGGTCATAAAGCTGGATTTGGCATGAAAATAAGGGATCTCTCTGTTTTAAAAACTTCTTCTTGAAAAGGCAGGTGTTAGTGTTGATGGGAAGAGGGGAGTGGGTAGCACCATAGGTCTCAGGATCTGAGGGTGGGGAGGGGGACCAGGTTGTACAAAAGGGGGCACCTGTGGGTAGCTTTAACATGCAAAACCCCAGAGGGGATCCAGCCAGCTCCGAAGGTGTGGCAGTGAGGAAGAGCCACCAAAACAGATTTGGAAAAGATGCTGAGGTGTGCCTTCCTCCCCAGTGTCTCCGGGGTTTCACTGGGTTTTAGCAAGATGAGCTTGTCCTGAAATGGGGTCTGTGGTTTTAGAAATGCTCAAAGGTGATCACACTGAAATGCTTTATCTCAACAAGGAAAAAAGTGCCAAAAAGAGCAAAAATGGTGGGATTTTTTTCCTTCTTTAAAGCCAGTTTAGGCAGTGCTTGCAGCAATTGTATGGGATGGAACTCAGACTCCTTCCACCTTCTTTTTATTGGCGCAAATTATTAATGTGTCTCACTGCATGCTGGCAACCCAGTGCTGCAGCTCAGCTCTGCAGGGGTAACCTTGGGGCAAAGCTGTGAGCTCAGGCTGCCCTTCTCTACACTCAAGGCTTTGTAATTTGAGGGGAGGAGAGGAGGCTGTGCTCCCCTTCTTCACCCAGTGGCAGGATGATTTTGACCCTGGGGTAGGAGGTGTGGGTTTGGATCCTGGGTTTTCAGCTAGAAAGAGGTTATTCAAGGCAGGTCAGCCAGGTAAGCATCCCCACTGCTGTGCTGCTAATGCAGCAAGCAAACTGCTTAATTCCTTTCCTCTCAGCCATATTTTAAGGCACTTCTGCATTTTGTTGTCACTGGGTTCAAAAGTGCTCTCTAGAGCAAATCCCATAGCAGTAGGAAAGGCCCAAGGATCTGCCCCAGTTGCCAGTGGGGCTGGACATGGATTAGCCACCACCAAGCTCTTCAACCGGACTAAGGCTGGGGGCTCTGGGGTGGGTGCAGAGGCAGAGCTGTAAGGTGGCTTCTTGTGAAATCAGAGGTGGCAATTTTACAAAGCAGTGGTAGGGAAGAGTTGCAGTCTGGGCTCACAGAGGTACACAGGCCTCTTAAAAAATGCTGAAGTCTTATTACGGGGGAACAGGAAAAGTATATTAGTGTTAGAAAAACCCTTAAAACTATTTAACAGTGAGAGACAAACTTATCAGACAGCATATCAGTTTCTATCCAGTTGCAAATCTACACTTTCTTTTTCCTGTATGGCTTTTATTAAAGCAAGCTGCTGATGTTTTCTTGCTGATTTTAGAGCGTATCAGCCAACTGCTTTGCCTGAATTTTCCTTAGTTTTCTGGCTTAATTAAAACCAGCCTGCAAACAGTGACCCAGGTGTTAGGCATCCTGGCAAATTGCTGACAGAGACACCTGGATCCTTGTCTGCAGGCTAGGGGAGCTGCTCCCAAGCAAGGGTTGTTTGTCAGGCAGTAAAAAAAAAAAAATTATATAAGTATGTATTTTTATATACATATGTATATACATATACATTTAAAACTTTTGGTTTTGAATGATCTGTATGTTGTGATTTTTGGAACATAAGAAAAACACCATGAAAAAAATCATCATGCACTGTGATTTGATTGTGCCTTAAGAGAGAAATTGCAAGCTTCAGCTTTGGGACTCAGGGGTGAGGAGGAATCAAGCAATGCCTTTGCCTACCAGGTAAGACTCTGAACTGGGGTATGTGTATGTGAATGCAGTCTGCTTTTCGCCTCTCCTTGGGGAATCAGAGTTCTGGATTGAATTGATCTATTAAAAAATGAACCACTGCATTACACTGAGTGTTAGGGCTTAATAACTCATTCTCAATAATGTCTAATGTAGAACAACCATTCCCTTTGGGACAACTAGCAAAAAAAAAAAAAAGGCAAAATTACAGTAGACAAATATTTAACCCTACTTTGCCTTAAAGCTTCAGTAACTGTTTCTCTCACTTGTTCTTTTTATTTTTAATTTGGGGAAGGGCACATCCCATATATTCGGGATTTTTGTTTAAGTTACGTTTGTTTCTTTAAGAATTGAAGAACATTTATTTGCTTAAAGGCTTGCCAGTAAAAAGGCCCCAGGTCTAATCCCTTTCTGCTACACACCAACGAAACTTAGGAAACTCTTTGACTATTGACTTTTTCACGTGGAAACTGATCTGCTGAAAGTGAAAAGAAACCATTTCTTGGAGGGGGGAAAAAAAACCTCTGTGAAACTCTGTTTTGAAAAAGTTGTCGTCCTTGGCCTGTGGAGTAGCAGCAGAAGCAAAGGCTTTTTGATCCTCAGATTTGTAAACTTGTAGACATAATAATGCCATTTCTCTAGTGTTAGCAGGTGTCCTGTCTGGAAGTTGCTGCCTCAGCCTCCAGCAGAGCTGGGAATTAGAAAATTGTCTGCCTTTCCTGAACCGTGAAGTGCTGCTCTTAAATAAAGGCCAGGTCAGATGTTAAAGGGACATTCTTGTCTCCTGAAGCTGAAATAATCTACAGTCACATCGAGAAATGAAGGCATCCTCCTCCCAAAATGGTCAATCTCTTTATCTCTCATTATAGTCCACAGGGTCAAGAAAAAAAAAAAAACCACTTCTGAGCTGATGTTTTGCAGTATTTCTCCTCAGTCTGTAATTATCCTGGTTCTGTATAGTTGAATTTCAGGGAAATATGGTAGTTAGGAAAGTTTTATTCTTTCCTTTTTTTTTTTTCCTCCCCCGTTGTCCTTCCTCTGATGGAACAGTTCAGTGAGCACAGAGGAAGCTACAAATATAAATTCAGTATTTGGTCTCTGCTTCTTAATAGCTCTCAAATTAAATTAAGATTTTAAAGTTATTATTTAATATGGTTAAAGAGATTTTTTGCACCAACTCCTTGAAATCCTGCAGACAGGCACAAACCCAAAACCAATGAGCACATCTTGTAATTTGCAGCTAATTCCCTCTGATAAGGTGTCTTTGCAGGCTGTGGTTTATGGATGTTTGGTAACAGTGATTATTATGGAAATTACCCCTGAATCTCCTCCTGTATGCCCCTGCTGCTGCTTGGAGCTGTGCTGTCCTGTGTTGCACACATGCTAGCAAATGCAAACTGCTGCTTTTATTTATGCTATAGAAAGGCTGTGCCTGGCCAGAGGAGCAGCCCAGCACAGGAGTTGTACTGACAGGGAAAAGGGGCTCCTGCTAGCAGCTGTGGGGTGTCCTCGCTGTCCCTACCATGTCCTGCTGCCCTGCTTGTACTCATTGGTGCCTCTTGCCATCCCAGCGCAAGTTAAACACATGTTCCCCCACCAATTCCCAACCCCTGTAACATCCAGTAACCTGCTGCGCTCCTGGGCTCCTCATCGGTGCAGCACAGGACAGCAGTCCTGCCTGGCGGCCAGAGGAGAGGAGGGATGAATCTGGGAGTGCTGAAGTGGGTTTCAGGTACCACCACATCCTCTCCAAGCAGAAAAGCCTGGTCGTATAGGCTGCAAAGTTTTGGTCTTGGCAGAAAAGGTGGACATTTTCCTCTGGAGGGGTATGCATACCGACTCCGTTAGTTAGTGGGATGAAGAAACAGGTTTGGCCTAATGTGGTGCAGAAGAAAACAGAGAACCAGGTGCCAGTATTTCCAGTCCTGCTTACTCATCTGGGTGAGAGCAAAACCTGGAAAAAAAAAAAGAAAGATCCAAAACTTTGGGTGCCACCAGCCAGCAGATGAGATGTTGTACAGCACCAGCAAAACTGAAGTTACGTAAACTAGAGCCACATTAGAAAATGCCTTGAATGAAGGTCTTAGGAAAAGCAAGCTTTGCGGAACCAATTATCCTAGCATGTATGAAAACAATTCATGCCCATTGTTTTCTAGATTAAACTGATGGCAATCTTGGGTCCCAGTATGTCTCAAGCTTCTTGATCTGACCCAAACAGGGAGTTTTCCTCTGTTTTTGTGTAAAAACAGATGCAATAGTGGTGGTGTATTCTTGGGGAGGGTGGTTTGGTTTTGTTTGTTTGTTTGTTTTTCGGGTGGTTTGGTTTTGTTTGTCTGTTTGTTTTTCAGGTGGCTGGTTTTCACATGCACTGGCAGCAGCCTTCACAAAGAGTGGTGTGCGAGCGGAGCTGTGTGATCCCATCCCTCTAATCCAGCATCGCTCAGAAATAGCCCTGATCAAAGCATCTTCCAGTTCTGAAAAACTCTTCTCCTTTCCTCTGCCATGTAGCCAGGCACAGGGGTGACTTCCTAGGCTTGCTGTGATGGCAAAGCAGTGGCGATCATGGTCTGTAGTCGAGATGCTGTGCTTGCAGGAGTCTGGGAGGTCATCTTGTCTCCCCAGTCATGGAGAGTAGGCAGTGTGAGGGTGGGACTGATGTGTGACAAGGAGTGGGAAAAAATGCGGTGAGGTGAAAAGACTTATCAAAGCTCAAGTAGTGAGCATTCTGTTAGCGTAGGGGCTTGAAAAAGCTGATTTTGAATGTTTTTTAGGTTCCTATTGTAGGTTATATCCAACAAATAGTCTAGTGTGTTTGATGAGGAGCAGGTGAGGATGAGGAAAGTCAGGGCTGCGGCTCTGCCCCCTTGTGTCTGCGCACGATGATGAAATCTTTTAATTAAATGATCGCACTGAGTGCACAGAGTGAACGGTGCTCGCTTAATGAGCAGTTGCTCAATTTTTTTTTTCTCACTGCTCAATAGACAGTGCTGTGTCTTATTAACTATGCACTATTCGAACCCTGCTCAAAGACATTATTAATTTTCCCACTGGGTTTATACAGTGCTGCTCACAGTAGTATCTGAAAGCTTTCCAAACATTAATGGATTAAAATATAAATGACAAGCGTTATTACCCCTGTTTAATGATGGTGGCCAACATGAAAAGCGATGAGAGCTAATAATTAATTCTAAGTGCTGGTCCAAGGTACCCCTAGCCATCCTGTTCCAAGCCCTGGGCTTTGTCTGGCTGAAACCACATGCAGAGCCTGATGCTCAGTGACCCTGACTGCAGCTGTGGATGCTCAGCACCTTCTTTGCGAGTTGGACCCAAGCATCTCCTATTAGATACCCAACAAAGATGAGCACAATTAGTAGCTGCTCACAAAAACTTCAAGCACCTTGCCCAGAACTGCACAAAGCTTCTGTTGCAGGAACAGGTCAGGAGGAGTCAGTTGACCTCCAAAGAATAAAATCCTGCATCCAGGAGTTGGCATTGGATTAAGCACAAAAGCAGCCTGCAGGCCCTTGCTTTACTTTCTCAGCTTCTCTGGACATTTTCCCCAGCAATTTCCCCTTTGCCACACAGCTCAGATTCATTCTGCAAGTGAAAGTGCCTGCATGAAGTGGGTAGAGTGTGCCCTGAGGCAAGAAATTGTGAGCATGCCTGTGAAAATGCACTGTGAGCAAAGGATCTGGGCTGAAATTGTACAGACAGCTCAGGCACCTCTGAAACTTGAGTGTTTCCTTCCCAGCCCTCATTCTGCATGTAATAAAAGTGTAGTGCTGTGCAGGAGAGAGCATCAAGTATGTACTGCAAATCTGGTAGAGGAAAGTGAGTAATCCTGGGGTGATGTGAAGCCTAGTAACTCCTCATCAAGGCTGGGGCATTTCAGATCCCACATTGACCTGGCCCACAGGGATAATACATAACAGATTATCATTAGTACCCATATGTAGGTGAGTTGAGGGAGGGATGGGACGTTATCAGATGAGTTTCATGGGTGTTTGATGGCAGGAGAGATGTGTTGGGGCCAGGCAGCCTCTGAAGGAACGTGCAGAATATAAATAAATATATAATGCAGAATATAAATGTCATGACCTGTTCCCTTCTGTCCCTCCCCTTGCACACAGTGTGATGCTCTCTGCCCAGCCTCTCCCAGTATACCCCAGCTTCAAATGTGCTTCTGTTTCACCTGTACACTGTTAGCCCCATCCTCTGTGTTTTGTAGTGCTGCCCCCAAGTCCATGCCTCCTGTTCCCTTCCCCTGCATCCCTGTCTCCATTGTATAGATTGGGACCCAGTAACACCACAGATGCAGATGCGAGGCTGCACAACCACCACTGGCCATTGGTTTTCCTGCAGCAGAGACTCGTCTGTGCAGACTGGGGAAAGTGGTTCCAAAATTTAGTTTGTCCTATGTTTAAAAACAAAATTGAGGTATTTTTTTTCTTATCTCATAGCAGGGCCTGCTTCTGGGTTTTTACATTCTGTGCAGCTTATCTAATAGTTTAGCATCTTTCTTCCCCTTTCTCCCCCCAAAATCTGTCTAAGCAAAAGTTTCTTGGAGATATAGGGCTAAAAATACCCCTTGATTTTAAAAAGCAAACAAACAAAAACATCTAGTTCTTTTTGTTGAGAATTTCACCACTGACACCAAAAGAGACTGCATCATCTTTACCACTCTACATGCTATGTGATATAAGAGGAAGATACTTAGTTCTCCTCCTTTGTCTGTAAATCAGAATAACAGGTATAATCCTACCCTTTCATCTTACAAAGACTTTCGATTTTCAGTTAGTGTTCAGGCCTGCTTTGTTCCAAAGTCTTCTCAACATTTCTGAGAGGCTACATGCTAGTGGAGGGGAAAGCATTGGAAAACCGTTTATTCTGTAGCAATAGATGATGAAATGGCTAAAAAACCCTCTAGCTCCCTGATTAATTATTTTATACTCCCTGATTAGTTATTTCATGCATATATGTGTGTGGGTTTGTGTATATGGATGCATTCTTCCTCTTCACATCTATTTCTCTGCTTAAACATGGTCAATTCAATTTCTGTCTCCCTGCGTGCATTCTTCGCATGGATCTTCGGGTGTAGCCATCCTACCAAGCAATCACAACTCTTTGCAAATGAATTGGGCATGTAGTGAACATACTTTATTTTGGTACTCAAACATAGGAAATTATTCTTTAAAAATGATGGGGTTTTTTCCCCATCCTGTTGCCTACATCTCCTGCTCATTAGCAACAAATATTTGCTCAAGAAGTGGAAAGCAGCTTTTTGTTTATTTTAAGCTATAACAGAACAAGTTTTGGCCTGGAAAGAAAAGTTGAGGCTGGGGAGGAGAATGATTCCCAGTGTCAACCATATGTTGCATTCATCTAACTGAAGTGGCTTAATTACTGGTAGATGTTGCTGTGCTCATAAAGATAGCGCTAACCGTTGTGCCAAGACTGTTTGCTGATAATTGCACTTCCTAAAAAAAAAGGGGGGGGGGAGGGGAGAAAAAAAAGAAAAAATCTGGAAGATTTCCTCCTGTCAAGCTTCCCTTCCAGTCTTCCTGCAGTGCCCTTTCCTTTTAGGAACCCACTGCAGGATTCGAAAGATGCTTGTTTGAAATGAAACTTTGTAGGTTTGGCAATGTTAATGCTCCCATCTCTATCACTCTCGGGGCAGGGGAGGAACTGCAGTAACCATCCCTCAAACTCACAGCTCTTGCTTCTCAGTAGATGGAGAGGTGGTGATTTGACGTAGATTATTCCTCTAATTGCATGGCTGGCTTTAGCCTGGGATTAAGGTGGCTCAAATAATGACCTGACTTTTTGTAGCTGTAATGAGCTGCAAGGTCAGTCCTTCAAGATCTCTGATATTTTGAATCCTTTCCAAAAATATTCCTGTCCTCAAATCTGAAGTGGAATTTGAGATTTACCACTAAGGGGTAAGTGGGTTAGTGGTAACAACCGGCAGCCTTCCTCTTCTTCTGCCTATGCATTCTCATGATAAAGGGCACTTTAAAGCCCCTCTGACTATGAATGAGTCCTAGTTAAATATTTCAAGAACTTCTTTACATGGTTTCCTCTGATGCATGTACTGTTGAGACATCTGTCTTCCTTACTAATAAAGTAGTCTAGATTTAAAATGAACTTCAG